GTTTTCCGCGCAGTGGATGAACACTAGAAATACATGGCGCCTCGTTTAGGAGAGGCCCCAATGATCTGTTCACCTTCCAGCTAAAGAGGAATCAAATTTCTATTACTTTCTTTTACGATAAAAAAATTCTGACGTATCGCGCATAGTTTTGCTTTCTTTCGTACCAGCCCTTCGTTTATTCGGCCAGTCACCTTAGCCTACATAGTCAAAAGTGGGGGAAACACCCACATTTAACCGACGACCCGATTACCATAACGTGATGAAATTTCGCGCATCCCACGTTCCGAAGGATGCGCACTGATTAGCGCTTCGTCAAACGACGGGTTGCGCACTTGCCACCCGGGTAACCAGCTACGTAAAACGGGGTCGGAATATTACTTGACCCGTACTTGAATACCCAAGGACAAGAACTCGTGCCGTTCGTAAACATGAGACAGTCTGTATGTGTAATTTCGGAGATGAAAGTTTGGCCGTTGAGTTCAGCAAGATTGGATTTGCAAGGTCGCAGAGCAGGATTGCGAAAGGGAGATTGAAATTTTTCTGATTGTTTTCAAATTCCAGGTGGAATCTGCCGATGGTTCTCATGGCGAGTCGTTCTCCCTTGTGCTCCAAGGTCCCAGGAGGGCTCGGGCAACGTTGGAAATCCAAGTTGTGGATGTAAACGATAATCCACCTCAGTTCACAAATCCACCTTCTGTGCTTACAATTCCTGAGGTGCAAACTTTCTTTACTCATTGCCTATTTGTGCAAAAAAATAAATTTTTAGAGTTCTCCCGTTGGCTCGGCTATCACAAAATTAACAACTAGAGATGTGGATACAGGAATATCCGGAATGGCAAGGTTTTCTGTGGATGTAAGCATTTTAGGAAACTTTTTTCCTCTAAATTTTCGTCTGAAGAAAATCACCATTTTCAGAACGACTTTTTTACAGTGGACAAGGCCAAATGCTTTAACAAAGAGTGCCATACGATTCTACGACTAGCAAAAGCATTAGATTTTGAACGGTAAATCACATCACAATCACAAAATCTAATCTATTCTAATTAAAATGTATGAATTTGTCAACATATCATATATTTTAGCCAACGACTGCATCACATCGTCGTAAAAGCCGAAGATGGTAATCCCCATGTGAACCGAACTAATGTAATTACCCATGCACTCACAGTTCGAGTTGGCGACGAGAATGAGTACGCTAATATTATGGTCCGTTTTCTCCTCCGAAAAAGTGGTGTCCTTCAGTGAACCCCCAGTATTCGTCACCGATCTTTCTCGAACGATTCAACTTCCACCCCGAGCTGACGTTGGCGATGAAGTTCTTGTGTTGAAGGCTGTTGATGGAGATGACACCTTTGTCAATGAAACGAAGATGCGGTAATTTAGTTACTAGCACCAGAAGCAGCCATTGGTGATTAGTTCTTTTCAGGTATTCCATGGAACAGAATGAATTTATGGCCATTGATCCAGAAACGGGCGTTATACGGCTTTTGAAGAAGCCGGGCGGTGTTATTGTGGTCAAGGTCAAGGTGGGTTCAAAAATATTGGATTGATCCATAAATTTTGCACAAAAACTTGAACATTTTTAATTTCCTTCATTTCCAACAAGTTGTTCAGTCTAATAAATTTGAGGAGAAGAAATCATGCACTCAGTTTCGTTTTGTTGGAAATCATTGTTTTCATACCAAAACAAGCTGATGAAGAGAAACTCTAGTCTCATAACCCCCTAATGTGACTAAGTG